TAGGGATTCGCACGAGGGCCGCCGGCAAATGAGAACTGTGAAACTGCAGTGGGCATTTGCCTTGCCTCTGCGGGGGCTGTACCTCTGCCTCAGGAGGCGGGCCTAATCCCTTCAGGGAGGCCGTTCACGCGAGACGGGAGGTAAGGTAACGTTGCTGTAAGCCACCCTGATCTCCATAAGGAAGAAAGGTAAAGGTTCCCTTGCTCGAAAGCCAGTCAAATCCGACTCTAGGGCTGCGGTGCTCTTCTCCGTTTCCAAGCCGAAGAGCCAGCGCTGTCCGAAGACTTCTCCGTGGTCACGTGGCCGGCATGACTAAACGCTGAGGCACACGGAACCCTGTTACCTTCCCATCGAAGCAGTACCTATTTATCTACTTGCAGTTTCTTGCTTTCGAACTGCTAGGTTGGCAGGAGTTAAGGAAGAAAGGCGGTTAATAAATGTTTTAAATACAGAAATAATGACTCCTACGGTACCACAGTGAGTTGGGGGGGGCTGTCACCCGTCCTGGGCTCCCAAAAGGTGCTCCGATGCTAACTCCCCCCCCCCCATGCCAGCCTTGGCCATCCAATTCTAGAAGTCTTTTCAGTTGATCCAGTAACTCTGCACATGAGTAGAAGTAACTTCGAAGGGACCCACCCTTCCTTCTTTGTATTTGTGTCAGAAGTTGCCATGGTAGAATAGGTATCTCCTCTGCGAGAGGGGAATTCTTTTTCTAGGATGCCATTTATTTATTCTTTTTACCATTTATAGTTTTCATGTGTATGTATACTAAAGGGGGGGGCACCTTTTCCTAACGGGGGGGGTCAGACTTGACTCTGAGAAGTGGCGTTGGTGGGGAGAATAAAAAGGTAAAGGTACCCTTGCTCAAAAGCCAGTCGAATCCGACTCTAGGGTTGCGGTGCTCATCTCCGTTTCAAAGCCGAAGAGCCAGCGCTGTCCGAAGACGTTTCCATGGTCATGTGGCCGGCATGACTAAACACCAAGGCGCACAGAACGCTGTTACCTTCCCACTGAAGCAGTACCTATTTATCTACTTGCAATTTCTTGCTTTCGAACTGCTAGGTTGGCAGGAGCTGGAACAAGAGACGGGAGCTCACTCCGTCATGCGGCGCTCAGGTCTCGAACTGCTGAACTACTGACCTTCCACAGCCTGCAGTTCAACATCTTAACCACTTGAGCCACCGCAGCTCCTTTAGGTGGGGAGAATAGACCTGGCCAAACTTAGTTTCCGGTCTTCTTCAGCTCCGTACTTTGCATATTCCTCAGCCTTAATTACCTCTGTTGTTCTCTGTGGTGTTTCAACCCCTTTACCCCTGTAATTTTATTGTAAATTGCAGTCTATGCACTGATACGTGCTGGGGTCATTCCTACCCCCCAGTTGTGTATTGAATGGGAAAGTGGCATGAACACAGAAGGTGGAATGGACCAAGTTTAGATTGGCTCATCTTTTCTCCCTTGTGCCTTTGCTCGCTGCACTGTCAAAGAGAAACACATACTGAAAGCTGGATTTTTTATTTTCCTTTACTCCCTCTATCATGCTTTTTAAAAAGTTTTTTTAAAAAAAAAATCTGTGGTTCACTTTGGGGCCTAATCGATTAACTGAACTAGATTTTCCATCCTAACACTTTCTTTTTCTCTCCTTTGCAGGATTCTGGAACCTGGCCACTCTACGCAACCTGGTTTACAAGCTTTCACATGCAGCAGTAGAGCATCTTTAAACATAGTCTGCGGAAAACGCATCCCTTTCCGGTGTCTCGCTACCTTCCAACTGCTTCAAGATTACTGCAATTTCCTCAAATAACACTCCCCTCCCCTCCCCTTCTGAAAATGCGTATTCTTCAGTTAAGACCCCATGCAAATCTCCCTCAATTAAAATAAATCTAGCTTTTCTTAGTGGAATATCAGGTTTGCGTGGAGTGTACACAGATGTAACTATATGCTGTATTTTGGGAATAAGCCTAAGAGAAGTATCAATAAATATTGGGCCATTGATTGTGATCAGTTCCTGGAAAGGATTCTTACGTTTTCATGTCCTGATCAGGTCATTGAAGAGGTCTGTGGGGAAAGCTTATCTTTTCATTCTCTGTTGTAAACTGCCCTTCTTAACTGATGTTACTTATCTGTGTTTGGGAATATATGCAGACACCACTGTTACCCATTTAATAAATCAGAATACCTTCCGATTATTGCACATTACTACTTGGGCCTGCCAAGGCACATGGATTTCTGTAGAACAAGAGTCTGGCCTGTTGTTTTAGGTTGGGGGGCAGGAGGATCCCATAGAATGTGATATGTCTTGGGTTCTAATCCTACTCTTCTTGTCAGAGTTGGTGGGTAAAGGTAAAGGTTTCCCTTGCTTGAAAGCCAGTCGAATCCGACTCTAGGGGGCAGTGCTCATCTCTGTTTCCAAGCCAAAGAGCCAGCGCTGTCCGAAGACGTTTCCGTGTTCATGTGGCCGGCATGACTAAACAGCCGAGGCACACGGAACGTTGTTTCCTTCCCACCGAAGTGGTACCTATTTATCTACTTGCAATTTCTTGCTTTCAAACTGCTAGGTTGGCAGGCGCTGGGACCAGAGACGGGAGCTCATTCTGTCACGCAGCACTCGGGTCTTGAACTGTTGAACTACAGACCTGCAGCTCAGCGTCTTAACCACTGAGCCACCATGGCCCTCAGCATTGGTGGGTAGGCACGCAATCTGTAGAATATGGCAGGGGCTGCAAAGCTCAGGGAAATTCTGTTTAAAACCTCCCCAGACAGCCACCTGATATGGAATTCTCTGTATAATCCATATCTTATTTTCCTCCAACACTTCCATTCTTCCAGGACAACAGAGGATTTTTTCCCTCCTAATAGTATAATTTTCCATATTTTTATATCTGCAACCCTGTTTCTGAATTGTTGTGGGATCTGAAGAGTAACTTTGCCCCCCTTCCCCCCCCAGAGGGGTAGCCGTGTTGCTTTCAGCTTTCGAGAACCAAAGCTCCCTTTGTCAGAGACCAATACTTGACGAAGGGAGCTTTTACCCCCCCCCCCCAAAATCCTATTGGTCTCTAAGGTGCTACTGGCTTTGAATCTAACCCTTTATCCCCCAGACTCATCGAGTTCTGAGATGTTGGGTTTGGAGAGTAATATTTCTTTTTTTGCCATTTCTATGACAACCCCATGTTTGTTTTACTTCGTAAATCACAGGGATTTGGTCACTACAGAAAACAATCCAGGGGAGTAGCCACGTGCCCTGACCTGGATAGCCCCAGGCAAGCCGGATCTCGGAAGCGAAGCAGGGCCGACCCTGGCAAGGACTTGGAAGGGAGACCGGCCAAAGCCAGGGCTCGGGGCGCAGAGGCGGGCAGTCGAGCCACCTCTCTGGAAAACGTCCAGAACCCCACTAGGGGTCGCCAGAGGTCACCATGACTTCCAGGCACACAAACATACACACGCACACAAAAATACCCCCCCCCCAAAAAAAAAGATGAGTAGCCATGTTTGTCTGTAGCGGTAGAAAAGAGGAAAAGCCCCAGCAGGAGGAGGAGATTGGATTTATACCCCACCCTTCACATGGAGTCTCGGAGCGGCTTACAAACTCCTTTCCCTTCCCCTCCCCACAACAGACACCCTGTGAGGTGGGTGGGGCTGAGAGAACTCTGACACAAACTGCTCTTTTTCAAGGACAGCTGTGCCAGAGCTTGCGACTGACCCAAGGTCACACCAGGAGGTGCAAGTGGAGGAGTGGGGAATCAAACCCTGCTCTCCCAGATTAGAGTCCGCACACTTAACCACTACACCAAACTGGCTCTCTTATGGTCCAGCAGCAGCATAAGGACTTGTTCGTCTTTTAAGGCGCTACTGGCGTCTCGCTCTTTTCTACAGAAATGAAGTTTCTGAACACAGTGCCAAAGTGACATTGCCGTCGCTGGCACCCCCCCCTCCCTCTTTCTTGTTTTCGTCTGTTTCGCCCCTCCTGCCCATGGGGCTGCAGCGCAGTCCAGTATGGGAATAAGATTTATTAAAGGCACTATCTTGGATTTTAGGTTTGAATGGCATCTTTAACTGTACGGTTGATTTTATTTATTGTTTTATCATCCTTGTATATTGCCCAGAGCTCTGTTTTTAGGAGGAGGAGGAGATTGGATCTATACCCCGCCCTTCACTTGGAGTCTCAGAGTGGCTTACAATCTCCTTTCCCTTCCCCTCACCACAACAGACACCCTGTGAGGTAGGTGGGGCTGAGAGAACTCTCTCGAGGACTGCCCTTGAGAGAACAGCTCTGAAAGAACTTGTGACTGATCCAAGGTCACATCAGCAGCTGCAGGTGGAGGAAGAGGGACTCAAACCCGGACCTTCCAGATTAGAGTCTGCACTCTTAACCGTTACACCAATCTCTCTAATCCTAGTCTAATCCTCTTCAGCACATAAAATCTGGAGTTGGAGAACGTCCCGAGTGCTGTGTCCAGCCCCTGCTTGGAGACCTCCAGTAAAGGAGAGCCTCCCACCCGGGTCATGCATTCAAACTGCTTTCACTGGCATCGACCCTCCTGTAATGGGAGCCTTTGACATCTAACTACTTCAGCAGCTTTGCACAACCTTCCAAGGCATCCACTTTCAGTGTGGAAAATGCTGGGGGAGGCTCCTATGGGAACTGTTACTGTCAGGGAGGGCGTCTGGGGAAACCACAGAGGAGACAGAGAGTGGAATTCTAGAGGTGACAAAAATCAATGTGATGCATTTATTTACGTCATTATCTCTGAAAGCTCTTAAGAACATTCGAGAAGCCATGTCAGATCAGGCCAATGGCCCATCCAGTCCAGCACTCTTGTGTCACACAGTGGCTAAAACCCAGGTGCCATCAGGCGGTCCAATTGGCAGAGCCAGAACTCCAGAAGCCCCTCCCACTGTGCCCCACCCCACCCCCAAGCACCAAATGGCTTCATAAAGCTTTGTATGATGTAGGAAGAGAGGGTTTTTTCCCCCTCCTTCCTTAACAGTAGAACGCAGGTCACACAATGAAATTAACAGTAAATTCAGGACAAACAAAAGCATGTTTCTTCACACAGCACATAATTTATGGAATCAACTGCCACATTGTGTAATGGCGGATACAGGCTTAGATGACTTCAAAAAATGGGCTTAGAAACATTCATAGGAGAGAGATCTGATCAGACTGAACCTCCATGTTCAGAGGCAGTGTATCTCAATACCAGTGTCTGGGGAGGGAAAGCTGGCCTATTGCCTTCATGCTTTGCTCCTCATGGAACTAAGTGCACATCCTCCACTGGAAACTGTTATCTTCAGTCTGACCCATCAGGATTTTTTAATGACCAGTGTACCGAAAGTTACCACCAATGGTCATGCGCCCTGTTCACATATTCTAATACCCCACCTACAGGGTGCATTGTTCAGCCGTGAGTGCAATTTCCCAGGTTTGTCTCCTTTGTGATTGTCTGATGCTTATTCATTTTTGGCTCCAGGCAAAACTCCAGCCCTTGTCTGAAGTCCAGTCTTCCATTTGCTCTGAGCATCCCTTATATTCTTCACTTCCACATAAATCGTTTTGAGGTTTCATGAACGTTCCACATTATGATCTTTCCCCTACATGGGTTTTTTTATGCGCCGTCAGATGGGAAGTTCTACTGAAGCTTTTCCCGCAATCTGTGCACTCATAGGGCTTTTCGCCCGTGTGGGTTCTCCTGTGCGTGACGAGGTAGCCCCTGTCATTGAAGCTTTTCCCACACTCGGAGCACTCGTAGGGCTTCTCTCCCGTGTGGGTCCTCTGGTGCGTGATGAGGGAGCCTCTCTGATTGAAACCTTTCCCACAGTCTGAACACTTGTGTGGTTTCTCGCCCGTGTGGATCTTCTCGTGCCGCAGGCGGTCGGAGCGATGGGAGAACCATTTTCCGCACTGTGAGCATTTAAACGGCTTCTCTCCAGTGTGGGTTCTCTCGTGGCCAACAAGGTACGCCCTCTGACTGAAGGTTTTCCCACATTCGGCACATTCGTATGGTTTCTCCCCCGTGTGCACTCGGTTGTGGCGCACTAGCTGAGAGCTGGTGCAGAAGCTTTTCCCGCAGTCCAGGCACTCGTATGGTTTCTCTCCCGTGTGGACCCTTTTATGGCTGATCAGCTGGGAGCTGATGCCAAAGGCCTTGCCACAATCGGAGCATTCGTATGGCTTCTCTCCCGTGTGAGTCCTCTGGTGTTTAAGGAGGTTTCCTCTCTCGGTGAAGCTCTTCCCGCAGCTCAAGCATTTGTACGGTTTTTCTCCCGTATGGACCCTTTTGTGGTTGATCAGGTGAGAGCTAGTGGCAAAGTGTTTCCCACACTCCAAGCACCCAAAGGGCTTCTCTGTCACAAAGGTAGCTTTATGGGTGTTTTCATGTGCTGCTTCTTCGGGAACATGGAAACATTTCCCTATGACCTCTTCCAAAGGTATTCTGCTGGGGTCTATACGGTCAGGTCTTTCCAGTGCAAATGGCTCCTTCATGTTTTCCTCTCCTGGCCCATCCACTTCTGGAAAAGACACCCACAGCCATGAGTCAAACACCAAGTAAAGAGAGAGAGAGGGAGAGAAAGACAAAGGAAATGTCTGAACTAGAGAAGTCACTCAGATTTTCTGGTTCCTGCATAGCTTGTGACTCTTGACTGTATCATCTTACTACTTCCCTGAGAAATTCTCTGGCAACTTGGAATATAAAAATGAGATTCTGCACATGTGCAGAGTATGTGGTGGAAAGTGCCATCAAGCCGCAGCCAATTTATTTATTTATTTACTTATTTGTCTCATTTATACCCCGCCCAATGCGCGTTTAAAAACTAGTACCTCCAAGGTACTAGTAAACATTTGCCACGGGCTGCATCCAGACTGCCGTGGCATTCCCCTCCGGTCCCTCATTTACCTGCCAGCACTGAGGGAAGGACCCGTGGTGTGCCGCCGGCGCGTCTGATCGCATAATCGCAGATCAAACTGCGCCGGGGCAATTAGCCACGCCTCCCCCCCGCAATATCCGGCCCATGTGACCGGGGCCTGTGTTTGTTTTTAAGACTGCAGGGAATGGTGGAGAAGCCCAGGCCTTAGGTCCATCTCACAAGGTTTTTTGCTTCTTCACCTAACCTGCCCAATTTTATGGGCAGCAGGTTGAAGACAGACCATAGGAAGTGCTTTAATCACACAGAGTTAACTAGTGGAACTCACTGTCACAAGATGTAGTGAAAGCCATCAGCACGAAGGGTTTCAAAAGGGAATCAGTGGAATTCAGGGGAAGGTGGGTGTATTGGTGAGGACAGAGTTCCTTAATGGCTGCTAGCAACAATAGCTAAAAATGGGACAACAGAGCAAAGTTTGAGTCCAGTGGCACCTTTAAGACCAACAAGTTTAATTCTGGGCATAAGCTTTTGTGTGCATGCACACTTCTTCAGGTGTCTGAAAGCTTGTACTCAGAATTAAGCTTTGTGGGTCTTAAAGGTGCCACTGGACTCAAACTTTGTTCTGTTGCTTCAGGCCAACATGGCTGCCCCACCTGAATCTAAAAATGGGGCAGGAAGTTGCTGTCTCAGTTGTTTTTTCATTCTTTTGGAGATGAATGCATATTGGTAGAATGGGCTTCTATTCAAAGGCTGCTTGGCTGCCACACTCAGCCACTGCACACAGATCCATCAAAATACTAAAGTGTAAGGAAAAATGTGACTCTCAGTGTAGCGGAAGTGAGAAGCCACAGCCAAAGGAACCCCCAAATATGCAATAATTCAGGCTTAGGAATCTTTACCAAGCACGCCAGCCTCCCTGTCTTCCTCTGGCTTGGCTTCCTGAAACCTCATGGCATCCAGCAGATTCTGGTCTGAGGGGCGAGGCTCCTGAAAAAGAAGCAGACCTGAGATGACAACAGCCACGCGCTTGGTTGTCTATGGCGAGCTGAGAACTGCATCCAGGTGACCAGTCAGGGAAGCTGGTTCTTTTCTGGATGTTAAGTCAGAAATGATTCACGTTGCTAAATGTGGGCAGTGGGGGGAGATTTCACAAGGATAGGAACTTTTCCATATTTATTTGCGAGGCACAATATGGAAATCCACGGAACTTTCCGGAAGGTTTAAAAATAACCCTCATCCCCTCCTGAAAACTAAGCTCGAATACATGTACATAAACGGAACTGAATGAATATCCTTCTCTTGATTACCTTTCCCCGTCTCCTCTATAGCAGCCTCCAGATCTAGATTTTAGATTGTAAACTACTTGGGGCGTGGAATTTTTACAGGGTCGTGATTTAAAATAAATACATAAATGAACACCTCCCTTCTCCTATTGTTGAACACGTGAAGCTGCCTTCTACTGAATCAGGCCCTTGGTCCTTCAAGGTCAGTTTTGTCTACTCAGACAAGCAGCAGCTCTCCGGATCTCAGGCAGAATTCTTTCACATCACCTGATCCTTTTAACTGGAGATGCTGGGGATTGAACCTGGGACCTTCTGCAAACCAAGCAGATGGTCTACCACTGAACTACAGCCCCTCCCTCTGGCGTGGTGCTAGCACATCAGACTAGGACAGGTGTGGGGAGGTTCCGAATACAGAACTCTCTCTTGGGCTAGACAATAGAGGCTACATTCATAATAAGCCATGATTAAGACCAGTGTTCCCTCTAAGCTGAGTTAGTGTGAGCTGGCTCACAGTTTTTTAGCCTCCGGCTCACACATCTGTCTTCGCTCAGGAAGGATGGCCCCAGAGCAAACTGATTTATGCAGTAGCCCAATCACTCGCTCACAGCTTTAATGCCAGTAGCTGTTGGATCCCCAAGCATCGAGAATAAATCCACGTTTCAGAAAAGCAAAATTTATTTCAAAGCTTTGGAAAGATACTCAAACAAGTCCTTTGTTAGGAATGGGTACAAACAGCCAGGGCATGTATAATAAAGGGATTTGAACCAGGTACCGAACCAATGGATCACTTTCCCGCTGGCGGGTAAAAGGAAACGGTTGCGCGCTCAATCCCTGGGAACACTACTATCTCCAGACATAATACAGGTGCAGTTCCCAGGCTCTAAAAGCAACAAGCTAGCATTCAAGCTCACCTCCTACACCACGTCCTCCAGATGTTTGGCTTAGCATTACAGCAGAATAAAATACAGGCTAGCAGGCAGAGGGGGGGGGAATGAACTGTACAGGCGTACAAATAACACAGAACACAATGGCAGCTCGCTGACAGTAGCTCACAAAGTAGAATTTCTGCTCACAAGACTCCACAGCTTAGAGGGAGCATTGATTAAGACAGAATGTGCCTGAGCCTGCTTTGTTACTGGGCTCACACACATATCTCTCTTCTGGCACACTGAATCACACGTCACCAATTAACTCCAACGTACAAATGTAGGCACACACGTTAACTAGATGTAGATTTCCATGATCTGGTATAAAATCCTGGTTCATGTGAATATATTTCCGAAAGACTTTGATAAAGCAGATAGGTATTTGATTGTTTGTCAACAGCTGCAAGAACTTTATATGCAAAATACTGGAAAACAATGGAGACCCCAACGAAACAAGAATATGTGAATAAGCTGTTTGAAACGGCTGAGAATGATAAATTGACGTTGGAGATGAGAGCGGGAACGGAATGGACTTTTCAAAAAACTTGGCAGAGATTTTATGACTGGTATAATATAAGCGTAATAACCTGATGGAATTTGAGGACGCAGAAGAGACAAGCTAGTAAAATAGATAATGAGATTTGAAATGTAATAATTAGATAATTGAAGGATAGAAGATGGAATAAGCCTCCTGTTACATGTTTAATGTTTGTTAGTGGTAGTTTTATGTTGTTGGCTTCTATATATGTCTGTAGTATATAATGAAAAAATAATAAAAGTGTACCCTTGGGTACTTTATAAAAAATAAATAAATCCTGGTTCATGGACTAACACTCTAGTTACAAGGATGGTCTTTTCTCCTCTGAATGGCAATGGCTTACCAGGATCTCAAGCTAGGTTTTTTTACATTGCTCTGACCTGATCCTTTTGGCAGCGGATGCCAGGTATTGAACCTGGGACTGTCTGAAAGCAAAGCAGGGGCTGTGCGGGAGACAGGAAATTCCAACTCTCCACCAGCCAGAATCACTCCCCTCCACAGCTCCTCCCTGCACGCCTTGCCCTAGGCCCATCCCCCTCCCCACTTCAAGACAAGGTGCATTCCCTCAGCATTATCTAGTGTCAACTGTAATCTCTCAAACGGTTTTTCTGCCTTTCCTTCAGGTAAATAAAAGGAAGAGGTAAATTCTTGGCAGCTAAGTGGAGCTTCCACATACAGAGGCAGTGTACCTCTGCTACCAGTTGCTGGGGAATTAAAAAGGTGGGGATGCTGGTTCTTTCCCACTCAGACAGTGGGGCTTCCAGAAGGCCTCTGGGTGGCCGTTGTGGGCAACAGGATGCTGGAAGAGACGCATCCTTGCTTGCTTTTAACATTTTGGGTTTTTTTATAATTTTTTGTTTTGTAAACCGCCTGGGGCAGGTTCCTGAAGAGGTGGCACACAAATTGTCTACACAAATAAATCTAGCCACACTCTGAAGACTTCTGTATTGAGAGAGAGAAACACCGCAGCCATCTCTCTCTCTTGTCTGAGTTTTTCAGCATCACCCAAACTCTCTCACCTTTTCTTCCTCCCTTTCTGGCTCTTGCTGCCTCAGGAGGAAATCCTCCGCCAAGGCTACCACCTGGGCACAGATATCCTGTCCGCACTCTTTGTCCCAGCTCTGCATTTTCTGGGACAGTCGAGATCTGCTCCTTTGCGTCTCTCTCTGTGGACCGGAAAAAGAAACTCAGTTCTGACCCAGTGTGTAGTGATTCAAAGAGACCAACCACAAATGGGTTGTATGGCAAACTTGTTTTGATAGCTGCCTCAGAAATACCTGCGGGAGGGCTGTTACCAGAAGGTAGCATAGAAATTTCCCAAACAACCAAAAAACGTGGTGTTAAAATCTGACTATCACAGAACTCTTCATGACAGCTGATGAGGAGCTCAGTGGATGCTGGAATACTCCTGCTGTGACACTAGACCCTGTGTGGTGTCACGGTTAGAGAGTGTCAGACTAGGTTTTAGGAGACCCAAATTCAAATCCCACTCTGCCATGGGTGACCTCAGGCCAGGCACAGACTCTCAGCCTAACTTACCTCACAGGATTGTTGTGAGGATAAAATAGAGGAGGGAGGGAAGAATGTTGTAATGCTTGGATCCCCATTGGGGAGGGAAGAGGAGGAGGAGGAGATTGGATTTATACCCCACCTTTCACTACCCAAAGGAGTCTCAGAGCCACTTACAATCTCCTTTCCTTTCCCTTCCCCTCCCCACAACAGACACCCTGTGAGGTAGGTGGGGCTGAGAGAGCTCCTCCGAGAACTGCTTGTGAGAGAACAGCTCTGAGAGAACCATGACGGACCCAAGGTCACACCAGGGGCATGTGGAGGAGAAGTGGGGACCAATGTTCCCTCTAAGCTATGGAGTCTTGTGAGCAAAAATCCTACTTTGTGAGCTACTGGCATTAAAGTTGTGAGCAGGTGATTTGGCTACTGCATAAATTGGTTTGCTCTGGAGCCCTCCTTCCTGAGCGAAGACAAAAATGTGTGAGCCAGAGGCTCAAAAACCGTGAGCTAGCTCACACTAACTCAGCTTAGAGGGAACATTGGTGGGGACTCAGACCGAGTTCTCCCAGATGAGAGTCCACCCTCTTAACCACTACACCAAACTGGCTCTCTACATAACTACAGTCTAAATGAAATAAACAAACAAATATAATTTTCATGACTTTTTCAGCCTGCTGGTGGGAAAGAAGAAGGAAAACTATTCAGAATGGGGCCGTGGCTCAGTGGTAAAGCATCTGCTTGGCACGCAGAAGGTCCCAGGTTAAATCCCCAGCATTTTCAGTTGAAAGGATGAGGTAGGCCAAGAGTCTAACTCCGTATAAGGCAGGTTCAGTTAGAGAAGTGGCTGTGGCTTAGTGGTGAAACATCTGCTTGGCCTGCAGAAGGTCCCAGGGTCAATCCCTGGCACCTCCAGCTCCAAGGATCAGCTAGGAGCTGATATGAGAAGGACCTCTGCCTGAGACCCTGGAGAGCAATCGCTATTGCTAAGCTGACAATACGCAGCTAGGTAGACCATGGAGCTAACTGGGAACAGGAAAGTTTCAAACCCAGAATGAGGTTGTTTCTGTAGGTTTGTTTTCTGTTTTTTTAAAGGTATCTTGTGGCACCTTAAACATCAACAACATTTTTATTCTCCTAGCAACCCCAACCTGGATAGGCCGGCCTGGCCTGATCTCATCGGATATTTTTTTTATTATTTTAATTTATTTATTTTGCCTTTAACAAAAATACAACAACATAGAAGTGCGTTGCAACAACACTCAAAAGACTAAAACAAAATCATTGAAAAACTAAGCATTACCACTCAGAGATACAGTGCATAGAAACGTTAGTCTACAAAAATACAGGCGTGAGAATAACAATCATTATCTTCACACACACACCCCAGCAATCATTTTAAAGTTTCACAGCAATAACCACTTATGATAATTTAAGTTAGCGGGTAATATATCATGTATAGTGAGATACGAGAATATTGGAAACCAGATAGATTCAAATCAGATCTCAGAAGCAGGGGCGGCCCCGATCAGTATTTGGGAGACGACCTAGGAATACCAGGGTCGCTATGCAGAGGCAAGCAACGGCAAACCATCTCTGAACGTCTCTTGCCTTGAAAACCCAAGGGGGTCCCCATAAGTCGGCTGCGACTTGACCGCATTTTCCACCCCATAAGCATGGGGGGGGGACATTCCAAAATTGGAAATAAAACCGTGTTAATCTTTAAGGGGACACGACTCCTGTTTACTAAGAAGGTTTTTTTTTTACAAACACACACACACTTTAAAACTGAATAGTTCTCACAGGCTCCACCTTGGAGGAAAGAAACAATTGAATAAGGAACAAACAAAAAAACAACCCCCAAACAAACACCCGTCAGACCGACCGCAAACCCGCTCAGGGCATTTCCACCCACTCCGCGTCTCATGAGGACTAGCGGCAAAGCTGCAAACTAGAACCCAAGGGGTACACATCTTAGGATGGGAAGGGGGCAGGACCCCCCTCTTTCCCCCAGCCTCTCTTCCTTCCCTCGAGACAGCCATTTTCTGCACCCACCTCCCAGCGTCCAGACTTTGCACCTGGCATTCGCCGCTCCTGCCGCATGCCGAACTTCAGCTCCGCTTGCAAAAGCATCCCCCCCGCAAGGCCAGTGGCTCTTTTTTTTTTGGGCGGGACAGGAAAAGGAGCAGCCCTCCTTAGTGTGCTGTTCCTGCCTCTCTAGGAATCGTCTCGGAGCGTTTGAATTAACCTACCGAGAACCAAGAAGAAGAGAGCCCTACTCGAGATTTGGAAAATGCAAAGGGGGAGATGTACTCCAGTTTGGTGTAGTGGTTAAGTGCGCGGACTCTAATCTGGGAGAACCGGGTGTGATTCCCCACTCCTCCACTTGCATCTGCTGGATGACCTTGCGCAAGCCGTAGTTCTGATAAGAGCTGTCCTTGAAAAAGAGCAGTTTCTGTCAGAGCTCTCTCAGCCCCGCCTACCTCACAGGGTGTCTGTTGTGGGGAGGGGAAGGGAAAGGAGTTTGTAAGCTGTTCTGAGACTCCCTTGGGTAGTGAAGGGTGGGGTATAAATCCAATGCAATCTCTTCTCTTCTTCTTCATCTAGTCCAGCATCCTGTTTCACACAGTGGCCAACCCATTCCTCTGGAGGGCCAGCAACAGGGCATAGAGGCCGAAACCTTCCCCTGCTTCCTGGCCCTGGGATCCAGAGGATTAGTGCCTCTGAATGGGGAGGTTCCCTTTAGTCAACGTGGATAGTAGCCACTGACAGACCTCTCCTCGATTAATCTGTCTAATCTTTTAAAGCTGTCTGCGCCTGTGGCCATTGCTGCATCCTCTGGCAGCGAATTCCAGTTTAATCGCCCTCTGTGTAAAGTAGTATTTCCTTTTCCCCGTCCTGAACCTACTGCCCATCAGCTTCATTGGATGCCTTCAAATTCTAGTATCACCCCTCTGCCCAGTAGCTTCATTGGATGCCTTCAGATTCTAGGGTCCCCCCCCCCCCCCAGGCATCTCTTTTCTAAACTGAAAAGTCCCAGACTCTTCGGCCTTCCCTCAATGGGAAGGTGCTCCACCCCCCTAATCATCTTGGTGGTTGCCCCTCATCTGGACTTTTTCCGGCACAGGGGTCCCCAACCTTTTTGAGCCTCTTGGCACCTTTGGACTTCTGACCCGGGGTGTTGGGCTTGACCAGGCAATGGCTGCTGTATAAAGCACAACCAACCATAAAATGGCTGCCACAAGAAGTGAAGCCACACACACACACCCCCAAAGAAAGTCCAAGTGCAGGAGAGGAGGCATTATTGAAAAATAAACCGGGAAAGGGGAATGAGGGAGCATAACACCAGCCACTGCTGAAGCAATGTTATTCTAATCTGTCCACCTGATCAGCTCTCCAGGGGCCAATCAGAAACCCTGCTTGGCAAGAGCCCCTGCTTCCTTAAGGCACCAGAAAAGGTGTTTGAGGGCACCACCTCTAGTATAACCCATACTATAATGTCACCAGCTCTTGGAAGCTAAGCAGGGTTGGTATTTGGATGGGGGACCACCAAGGAAGACTCTGCAGAGGAAGGCAATGGCAAACCACCTTTGGTTCTCCATTGCCTTGAAAGCCCCTTGCTGGGGTCACCAGAAGTTGGTTGCAACTTGAAAGCCCCTGGCTGGCTTAATGGCTCTTATGTAATACCACACTTGCTTCCTGAGAAGGGTGGCATACAATTTGACATGCCTCAGAAAGCCCCCCCCCCCGACCATTGCCCTAGTATCCAGAGATACGGGTGCCTCTCAACTTGGAAGGCACCAACCAAAACATTTTTTTTACCCTTCTTCCCTTCTGTAGCCCACTTTTTTTTTTTTTTTGAGAAAATAATTTAAAAAATTAAATCCAAAACATTTTTAAAGGATAAATGCCAGTATTTACTGAGGTGTTGCACCTTTGTCTGGGCCAAACAATCACAGTTTGTAGGGTTAGGCTAACAATTTAATGATCTATGAAAAATAAATTCCCTGCCTGCAGAAAACTAGCATTATCAAGGAAACACGTAGGCTACAATCCTAGTCAATACTCATTTTCCAGCTGCAGGGAATTTTCATGTAAAGGATTTCTCTCCATGGTTTTTGGCCCAAGGGATTTCGCAGATGAGGATTAAAGTCAGATTTCCAGCTGAAGACCTTTCCACAGGCTGGACAGCCATACAGTTTCGACTCCAGCATGAAACATGTGATAAACAGTAACCTTAATCAGGTTACTAAAGAAGTAAGCAGTGACTCACAAAAGCTCCTCCCCTTCCACAAATTTTGTTAAGTCTTTAAGGTGCTACTGGACTCACTCTTTTCTACTGCTACAGACAGACTAACAGGGCTACCCATCTTGATCTTAATCAGGAAGTGAACAACAATAGATGATCATTTAATGGCAATGATGACTCTCAAATACCCAGCTCTAAGTCTCTTTTCCACCTAATTCCAAGGATCCTGTCGATGTTCTGAACCAAAGCATGGAGTCAGTAATGGGCTGGATGAAGGTGAACGAGCTGAGACTCAATCCCAACAAGAGGTTCTCTGGGTGAGTTGAAAGAGAGACGGGGTACTTCTTGGATGGGGTTATACTCCCCTTGAAGAGTCAGGTTCACAGCTTGAGAGTGCTACTTGACCACAGCAGTCGCCTTAGAAAACCAGGTGGCTGTGGTGGTTTCGAGTTCTTTTGCCCAGCTTCGACTGGTGCATCAACTGTGTCCATCCCTGGGCCAGTCACATCTAGGCCACGTAATCCATGCCTTAGTTACATCCAGACTGGACTATTACAATGAGCTCTACTTGGGGCTACCCTTGAAGAGTGTTCAGAGACTGTAGCTAGCACAGAACGCTGTGGCTAGACTGCTGGTCAGGGCCAGCTATCGGGAGCACGTAACCCCCAATATCACAGCAATTACACTGGCTACCAATCCACTTCTGAGCCTAATTCAAGGTGCTGGTTTGGACTTTTAAAGCTCTGCATGGCTTGGGACAAGCGTACGTTCGTCCAATATGTTCCAGCCTGGGAAGAACATAGGCAGCAGAGGGCCCTCCTAACTGTCCCATCAATCAAAGATGCTCATTTGGTGGGGACACAAGACAGGGCCTTTTCGTTTGCAGGCCAACAATTATTGAACGACACCCCCCCCCAGGAGGTGGACCTGGCCCCCCTCACTTTCAGACTTTAGGGTGCAGCTGTTCTTATTTAGAGCTGGATTTGGTTAAATTTAGTAGCAGTACCAAGTAGTGATTTTAAATTTCAGTTTCATTTCTTGAATGCATTTTATTTGAAGTGTTTTTATCTGTGTTTGTAAGCTGTCTTTTGAGTTATGCAAGGAAGACACAAATCATAAATGTTTTAAATAAATAATGTTCATAACTACTTAAATTTGGTGTAGTGGTGAAGTGCGTGGACTCTAATCTGGGAGAACCGGGTTTGATTCCCCACACTTCCACTCGCAGCTGCTGGATGACCTTGAGGAAGCCATAGTTTTGTCAGAGCTGTTCCAGAAAGAGCAGTTTGTGTCAGAGTTCTCTCAGCTCCACCCACCTCACAGGGTGTCTGTTGTGGGGAGGGGAAAGGAAATGAGTTCGTAAGCCGCTCTGAGACTCCAAGTGAAGGGCGGGGTATAAACCCAATCTCTTCTTCTTCTACTTAAAAAAAATGACTAATAATCGCTTGCAGTAGAAAAGAGCAAGAGTCCGGGAGCACCTTAGAGTCACTGCTCACTAGAAGTGAGCACAGATTCAGGTGGCAGGCCGCCGTGTTGGTCAGAAGCAGCAGAGCCAAGTTGGAGTCCAGTGGCGCCTTTGAGACCGACAAAGTTTTATTCAAAGTGTAAGTTTCCGTGTGCAAGACACATAAGAATATAAGAGAAGCCAGTGTTGGATCAGGCCAGTGGCCCATCCAGTCCAACACTCTGTGTCACACAGTGGCCAGAAATACCAGGTGCCATCAGGAGGTCCACCAGTGGGGCCAGGACATTAGAAGCCCTCCCACTGTTGACACCCCCCCCCCAAGCACCAAGAAGACAGAGCAGCACTTGCCCCAGAGCCCCTATCTATACCTTGTGGCTTCCTTCAGAAGTGAGCAGTGACTCAGGAAAGCTTACACCCTGCCAGCGACTCACGAAAGCGCATCCCCTGCCACCAATGTTGTTAGCCTTTAAGGTGCTACTGGACTCTTGCTCTTTTCTACTGCTACAGACGGACTAACACGGCCACCCATCTTTTTTATTTTATTTATTTATTTTATCCCATTTATACCCCACCCTCCCCGCACGCGGGCTCAGGGCGGCTTACAAACACAAGGTGGAATACAGTACCACAGTTAAAACCAATTAAGGCACAACAGTGCTATAAAATACAATTAAAAACAATTTATACACTACAGTGGGCAACTCCCACGGATCCATTGCGACTAACATACTCGCTCCCTGTTGCACATCTAATTGTGGTCAAAAAGGAGGATGCTGTAGGCTATGATGTTCGAGTGGCCAGTCAGCCCAACCCAGCGGTGCTGTTCTACAATCACCCGTTGGTGGTGGCGGCGGCTCCTATTCGAAAGCCTGGCGGAAGAGCTCCGTCTTGCAGGCCCTACGGAACTGTAACAGGTCCCGCAGGGCCCTGATCTCCTCCGGGAGCTGATTCCACCAGATAGGAGCCGCCACCGAAAAGGACCTGGTCCTTGTGGCAACAGGCCTGGCCTCTTTAGGGCCTGGGATCACTAGGTGGTGTTGTGACCGGCTCTGAAGTGCCTGTATGAGGAAAGGCGGTCCCACATCTTGATGAGCTAATAACCCCCTGGTTTCCCTGGGCAGTGGATTCCCTCTTATTCCATTCAAGAAGCTCCTTACCTAGAAAACGTGTATGCAGACTCCCCCTATTTTTTGTAACCCGAGTTCAATTATCCAGCATCCTTCGTGATATCCTAAAGAGAGTTTTCTTTACTACTCAAAGTTTAGATGAATAAAACTGATTCACAGGAAAAAAAACCCATCACACTCATTGCCAAGACGTCTCCGGGGTCTTGTTTCACAATACAAAAACCATTCAGTTGCATCTCATGGATTCCGGCTTTGCTGTAGACAGAAATC